CGCGCGGCGGGCCCGGGGCCCGTCCTCGGAGCGCTCCCTCTGGGCTCTCACGCCGGCCCCACCCGGCCTCACCGCGGCCGCCCGCCGCAGCTGTTATGAGGCCTGCGAAGGGCACGGGTGGTGTCTAATCAACCCTCACCGAGAGGCCCTTCTCTCCCGCCCGGTTCCACCTTCCTTTCCGCGGCGCCTCAGAAGCACCTGGGGGGCCTGTTAAAACGCACGGGCCACAGGCCCACTGCCGGTTTCCCACCCAGCAGGTCTGGGTGGTGCCAAGAGCATTTGCATTTCTAACCGTTCCCAGCTGAAGTGGGTGCTGCGGGTCGGGGACCACACTGTGACCTGGCATTTACCAGGGTCTACTGCCGCTGGCCGCCCAGCTTGGACAGGCTTTGCCGCCAGGATGAAGCAGCAGCAGTCGCGCGACTTTGTGCCCACCACCTTTGTTCTTGTCCTTTCCCTCCCTCTGAGTGTGGGCTCCCAGGACTGTGGTCCCCAGAGCCCTCTTTCCGGAAGGACGATTTGTCCCATGGCTGGGAAGGGGTGAGCATGAGGAAGGTGACCCAAGAGGCAGCTGTCAGTAACTGGTGAGGAATCCACAATGAGTTTACTAGTGCCCATCATTTAACGAACAGCAGTTCACAGGGCACGGTAATAACTTAAATGTTTGTTTGCGTAAGGGTAGTAGGAGGAGGATTTTCAGCTTACCCCTTGCCCCCGCCTCCCCCACCTCCAACTCCTGAAGCACCTCTGTTTGGGAGTCAGAAATAACCAGGGATCTCTACCATTGCATTCTCGTCCTTCGCTCCCATCCCGGAAACTTCTCACCTCCATATAAGGCTCACTGAGTTTCCGCGAGGGCGCCAAGGCAGTAGGGAATTTTTTTTTAATCTTTTACAAAAATGGAGTTGCAGAACAGAACTGGGTATGTCTCTCTCTGGAACCCTGACTGCAGCTTCTGCTGTCCAGGAATTAACTTTTTTTTCTTTTTTAAAATATCAACCTTACTGAAAAATAATTGATATACAAAAATGCACTTATTTAAAGTGTACCATTTGATGAATTTTGACAAATATATACACCTGTGTAGCCATCACCATGGTCAAGTTATAATTTCCATCACTCTCCCAAATTTTCTTGTTTCCCTTTGCTGTCAATCTCCTCCCCTTAACGCCTAAGTGGCAATAGGGAAATACCTACCTGCTTTCTGACACTATAGATTATTGATTATTCTAGAATTTTACATTATAATTAGAACCATACAAGGTCTTTTTGTCTACCCTCTTTTGCTGAACAAAATGTGTTTGGAATTTATTTATCCAGTTCATTGCTTGTATCAGTAGTTTGTTTCTGTTTATTGTTGAGTAGTATTTCACGATTTATATATCCGCTCACCTGCTGGTTAGTTGTCAACTTGTATCAACTCGACTAGCCTCTTGTACCCAGTTATTCAAACACTAATGTAGGTGTGCCTGCGAAGGTATTTCGTAGATGTGGTTAACATCTACAACCAATTCCCTTTATGTAAGATTACCAACAATAATGCGGGTGGGCTCCCTCCACCCAATCAGTTCAAAAGCCTTAAGAGCAGGCTGAGACTTCCCTGAAGAAGTCCTGTCTCTGGACTACAGCTTCAGCTCCTGCCATAAAGCTTCCATCCTGCTCTTCCTGACAACCTGCCCTACTGATTTCAGACTTGCCTAGCCAGTCCCCATAACTGCATAAGCCAATTCCTTGTAATATATCCCTGACTGATATGCCCGTTGGTGGGCATTTGGATAGTTTCCAGTTTTAGACTACTATAAATACGAATGCTATGAATATTTGAGAGCAAGTCTTTGCATGGACATATATTTTAGTTTTACTTGGATAAATATCTAGGAGTGGAATTGCTGGATCATTCGGTAAACATATATTAAACTTTATGTGAAATTATGAAACTATTTTCCAAATTCCTATATATTTTCCATCTCTACCAGCAGTGTATGAGAATTCTCATTGCTCTACATCTTCATCAACACTTGGAGCTGTCAGTGTTCCTAATTTTAGTTGTTCTGGTGGATATATATGGTGACATTTCTTGTGGTTTTTATTTGTACTGATGACAAGTTATGTTGAGCATCTTTTCAAGTGTGTTTGTCATTTGCATATCTTCTTTTGCAAAATACCTGTTCAAACAGTTTGTCCATTTTTAAATTGGGTCCTTTTGGGTTATTCTATTGAGTTGTAGGGACTCTTTATATATCTTGGATACCTGTTTTGTGTTGAATATATGTATTCCAAAGATTTTTCACTCCTGCTATAGTTTATCTTTTCAATTTTTAAAAATGATATCTTTTGAAGAACAGAAATTTAAATTTTTGATAAAGTCCAATAAATTTTTTCCTTTATGGCTCATGCTTTTGATGTTCTAAGAACTTTTTGCTTAACCTAAGGTGGTGAAAGTTTTGACCCAAGTTTTCTTCTAGTAGTCTTGTAATTTTAACTTATACTTTTACATCAGTAATCCATTTGAAGTTAATTTTTGTGATGGTGTTAGTTAAGAGTCAGGGTTCATCCCCCCGCCCCCAAGTGGATATCCAGTTTCTCTAGTACCAATAGAAAAAGACTATCCTTTTTCTATTGAATTATCTTGGCACTTTTGTCAAACATCAATTAACCATATATGTCAGTCTATTTCTGGACTTTATACGATCCCATTGATCTATCTGTCTTACCCTAGTGTCAATCCCATGCTGTCTTGATTATTGTAGCGTTGTAGTAAATCTTGAAATCAGGTAGTTGAGTCCTCCAACTCTGTTCTTTAAAAAAATGTTTTGCTATTCCAGAATCTTTATATTTTTAATATAAATTTTAGAGTCAGCTTGTCAATTTTTACAAATAAGCTTTTTGGGACTTTTATTGGGATTTTGTTGAATACATGGTTCAATTTGGGGAGAACTGACATCACAATTTTGAGTCATTCGATCCAAGAACATGCTATAATCTATTTATTTAGATCTTCTTTATTTTCCCAAGCAATGTTTTACAGATTTTAGTGTACATATCTTGTTAAATTTATTCCTATGTATTTCATGTTTGGATGCTATAGCAAATAGTATGTTTGAAAATTTCATCTTCTAATAGTTTATTTTTATTATCTAGAAATAGTTTTTGTATATTGTCCTATTCTCTGATTTTTCTAACTTCAATTAGTTCCAGTAGCTTTTTAGTTTTTATTTTTTTTGGTATCCCAAATCATGATCCCTGGGAATAAAGGCAGTTTTATTTCTTCCTTTTCCATCTGTGTCTTTTCTTTCTTTTTTGTGCCTATTTGCTCTGGTAAGGACCTCGGGCACAATGTTGAATAGAAGTAGGTAAGAGAGGGCATCGTTTCTTTGTTCTTGATCTAAGGGGAAACATTCAGTCTTTCACCGTTCTGTATGTTTTTGATAGCCTTTTGTAGATGTGTTTTAATAGGTTAAGAATATTTCTTTCTATTCCTAGTTTGCTGAGAATTTTTATCATAAATGAGTATTGAATTTTGTCATGTGCTATATCTTGAGAGGACCAGCTTTTTCTCTTTTATGTGTTGAATTGCATTTGTTGATTTTTCAAATGTTAAACCAAACTTGCATTCCTAGGATCAATCTCACTTAGTCATGATAGTCTCATTTGCCTGTATTTTGTTAAGGATTTTTGCATTTATGTTCACGAGGGATATTAGGATAGTTTTTTTTTTCTTTTAATATCTTTGTCTATCAGTGTATGTTCACGAGGGATATTAGGATAGTTTTTTTTTTTCTTTTAATATCTTTGTCTATCAGTATTTTGGTATCAGGGAAATGCTTGTTTCATAAGACGACTGGAAAGTGTTCCCTCCTCTTTTCTGATTTTTGCGTGAGATTTCAGGTGCTCTGCCTGCAGGAGCAGGGGTATCTCCTTGGAGCAGAGTGCTCTGCCCTCATCTCCATACTGTCCCGTGATTCCTTTACTCTCCACGTGCAATTAATTAGTCACAAAGTCCTGTTGATTCCAACCCTATCCCCCAATATTTCTCAACTCTCCCCCTCCCTACAGGTCCAAATCCTTATTACTCAGTAGCTGGAAGATTAACAAAGATTTGTCACTAGACTGCTTTGCAAAATGGCCTTTGGTGGAAACTTATGGCTTTTAGGTTCAAATCCCAACCTCTTGTGCCCGATTCCTCAGCCAGACACGTGAAAAGCACTCTCTCCCTCTAGGCATGATTTTTTTTTTTTTTTTTTCCGTCTCCTAGAGAGATACAAGACGTTTCATGCTTCAGTGTTTTTGCACTGCCAGAGTGTTCTCTGCTGCCTACTTTCGCATGACTCCGTTCTGCTAGGACTCCGCTTGGGAGCTTCTGCGTCGTTCTCCCGGAGCACACTGAACCGCGCATCGATGATCCTTTCCAGCTTGTTCACTGGGTTCTTCGCAGCCAGGGGCAGTGCCTCTCTAACCACCGCGGAAACTGGCTGTGAGGCCACGGTGAGTGTGAACTCGAACCTCTACCGGGCACATGGCTCTGTGGGGGTCCGACGGCCTCGGGAGCCCAACGCGGGCCCTCCCCAAGAAGGGCGCTCCCATAGCCACCTAGCAGCCAAACCCTCTTCGCAGGTGCAACACCAGCAACCGGTCTGCGCAGGGAGTGAGAACTGCGCCTGCGCATGGCCGCGGAGGCGGGGCGCGCGACGCGCGGGGAGGACGCGCCTGGGGTAGGGCCCGTGTACACAGAGGCCGCGGGGACCGCAGGAAGCCGCGGAACTACTTCCGGGGCGCCACGGCT